GAACAACACCCGTTTTGACTTTATCGCCAGACTTTAAAACGTTTTTAAAACAGCAAAATGCTGAACTACTTACCAAGAATTGTGTGCACTTTTAAATGCTGTATTTAAACTATAAAGATTGCTTATTGCCATTATAAAACAACAATTAATCAGTGTGAAAGCCAAAAAGCTGCTAAATTGTTACTTGGGTGTTATGTTTACAGCATGCAGGAGCAAACATTAAGCCGTGAGTCTAACATGAAAGACTTAGGCGTCATACTTGATTCACAACTCACCTTCAAGGACAATGTGGCTTATGTTTCTGCTAAGGCCTCTTCTCAACTTGGTTTCATTTTTCGTTTCGCCAAAGACTTTAGGGACATTTTCTGTTTAAAAACATTCTATTGTTCGCTAGTCCGCTCCACATTAGAGTACTGTTCCGTATTGAGGCCATTCAGCGAAGATTTGTACGTTTCACTCTTGGTTGGCTACCCCGGAGTGATCTCTTAAAACTTCCTAGTTATGAAAGAAGCTGTAATTTGATGTCCCTACAATTACTTAGTGTTCTCCATGGCGTCTCTAACGCAACCTTCATCGCTGATCTCCTACCATCGGACATTAATTGTGACTCACTTCTGCAGTAGTTGAATGTCAATATCAGACGAGTAAATCTACGTTATTATTTTTTCAATAAAGGGTGTCCACGATGAAATTGCCACACATAAAATTGATTCGCATCAAATTTTCAGGGATTGAGAAATAACTATTAAACTTCATTTTACCATTTTACTCGTATTTTATTTACAGTCCATACGCAAATGCCCGCACCTTGGCCTTAACCCCGGCCATAAGATTCTGCACAACCTGTGAATCAACCGTTTTTTGCATGTAAACCCATACTTTCTTCAGTTCCTCGACTGTCTTCACTACCTTAGGTCGGTTAAGAAGGTGCTGCTTCATAATCGCCCAGTACTTCTCGATGGGGCGGAGCTCCGGAGTGTTGGGAGGGTTGAACATTTTCGGCACGAAATTGACCTTATTGTCCGCATACCACTTCAGCACGTCCTTGGAGTAGTGGCATGAGGCCAAATCCGGCCAGAAGATTGTTGGGACGTTGTGGGCCTTCAGGAGAGGAAGCAGCCGCTTCTGGAGGCACTCTTTTATGTACACCTGTCCGTTCATCGTGTCCTCTCTGTGTTTTTATGGTTTTTATCAATTTGAACGATTAAAAAAACTCTAAAATTGATGGTGTGAAAAAAAAAGATCTTATTCCGGATTTGTATCTGAAGGACGAAAAGTGGAAGAGGCTGATAGGCAAACAGAAGGTCATCAAGATGGAGTGAATCAAGCGGGCCGCCATCCGGGAAGTTGAAGCAATTGAGTAAGGGTTGGTCGTCGGTAAGGGCCAGTAAGTGCTGCCAGCAGATGAATCAAGAGGTATTCGAAACAAAATTGGTAAGAAATGTCCATTCAAATCGATTTAATACAATTGAACAAATTTCAAAACTATATACGTGCCAGATTTGGAAATAATATTTTTGAATCTGGAAGTGTGTTTATGATACCATTATCCATTTGATAAAGGTAGAGTGAACATGCGGGGCTTATTGTAAGTAAAAGTGACCTCGGAGTGGTCGTGAATTACCAGGCATTCTGAAATGGGTCACTGGAGCTGCAATAGAGCTAACACCTTCTAACTCCCGGACTAAACCTGCTTTAATTTAAGGGTAATAAAAAGCAGTTTTCTTCCATAATAACACTGCCGGACAGTGGGGGTTAGATTGTACACACACACACACACACACACACACACACACACACACACACACACACACACACCTGTCCGTTCATCGTGTCCTGGGTCACGAAAGGTGCACTCCGCTTCCCGCACGTGCAGATGGCTTGCCAAACCAGGAATTTCTTCGCAAATTTGGACATCTTCTGAGTGCGGACATGCTCCGGAACGCTGAACTTATCCTTGGCCGTGAAAAACAGGTTGCCGGGGATCTGTTTGAAGTCGGCCTTCACATATGTTTCGTCGTCCATGATGCAGCATTCAACTTTCGTCAGCATGTTGAGGTACAACTTCCTGGCACGGGTTTTGGCGGACTTGTTCTGCTTCTCGTCGCGATTAGGGGCCTTTTGTACCTTAAACTTCGGCTTAGGTGCAGCTTCTTAGCCACATCCCTAACGGAGGCGTTCGGATTTTGGTTGAAGGCCCCAACTACGCGGTTGTGATTTTTGGTGTTGTACGGAATACTTTTTCCTTCACTTCTGGGCTTCCGATCGGTGGTCAACCGTTCCTCGAACCGCTTAATCACTCGCGACACCGTGGAATTCGCGATTCCCAACGTTTTAGCGATGGAACGATGCGAGAGATCCTTGTTCTCGTGATGAATGCGCAAGATTTTATCACGCACGAGCTGTTCTTTCGACTCCATTTCCGCGAGTTTTGATCACAGGACTTTAAAACTTGCAGGATGTAAATAATGCACTATGAACTAAATCCACCCAAATTTTCATTAAATTCTACCCAACGGTTAAAAAGTTAGAGCAATTTCATAGTGTGGCAATTTCATCGTGGACACCCTTTATCCCAGCTTCTCGCGCATTATACGGCGCTAATGAGCCGATTACTAGTATATGAAGGATTTTCAACAAATGTTATAACTGCTTTGATTTTAATATTTCCCGTGTTTGGCTTAAGAATCTGTTTTATAATGTACTTTTAACTTCCTGACGGTTTCTGTTTCCTGTTTTTTTAATTAAGTTAATTATGTTATCATTAATATCGTTTTATATGTTTAGGACTTAGTTCAAGTAAATGTATCTGTAGGGTTTCATGTTATCTGTTGGTACTGAAATGATAAGGTTTTGCGCCCACTTGTCTAGGCTTTTCCCTCCAAATAAATAAATAAGTGAATAGCCTAATCCAACAAACAGATGGTATTGGTATTCACTAAGTGGATTATAAGGGGATCTTCCTTATGATGGGCCCAATCTATCTTCCTTAAATCAGAGTGAGTAGAGTCGAAAATTTGGTTGCCAGGAATTGCTCTACAGTAAGTTCAGAAAAGTTTCTTTTCATTTTCAGCCCTGTCTGTTGATGGTTTTTTATTATTTGATTAATCCCATTGCAGGTGAGACTCAAAATTCAATTAAGTCTAATGTGGAGATAGATAGAAAGAGTCTTCAGTTAAGCAAAGTTGTAGTAAATGATCATACAAATAACTTTTCTGAAGACACTAACCTATTATCTCTTCACGGTATTCAGCTAAAGAGTTTTTTTTTTGTGAACGGTCCCTTAAAATTAGATTTATGAGTATAACCTTTGTCAGCGTAATTATTACATGTTTGAATGTTAAATGATTTGTTGATATGATCAAAATATATCTTCTTGAGGAAACAATATATCCACATTATTTAAACAAAATTGGTATATTTATGAAGTCACTAGTATCGAAGGGTGGCAAGCGGTATAATTACAGCCAATTTGAAATAAAAAGAACAACATAATTGCTGCAAAATAATGCCATAATTATCTACATCTGATAATAACCTGAAAATTACGGGTATTTGAAAGCGGGAGTGCAATCAAACTTCTCCTATAATATATTCGCATGATATGAAGGGTGACATAAGGACTGATCTGCCACCGTTTTCCACGCTCTGATTTATTTGGGCTCTATAATAGACCAAGGTTGATAACAATATCTCTGAAGATATGAAAAGAGTGGATTGCTACTATCCACAAGTATTTTGGTTTGATAATCCATTCCTTGGATCATCTCACAATTTATAGGAATAATCTATACCCCCCCCCCCCCCCTATCAAGAGTGGACCTAATATTTAAATCGCCTTTTTCAGACCATTGATTGGTCAAATTTAAGGCTCAGATGCTTTATTTTGCCCCATGAGGGTAAAAGGTGAAGTTATTGCCGATACCAACATTTAACCTCCTTATTTATATTAAAATCAATAAATTATATAACTCCTTCTTATTACCCTTAGAAATTTGCTTTTTTACTAATATTATAAAAAAAAATACCACTAAGCAACCTACACTCTCTGAATACTCTCTGTATCTTCTTTGAAAATATTATCTACCTCCCTCATGTGACTACCGCAGCTTGATAGGCATGAGCAGTGTTGGGAAAATATCAAAAAATCAAATCTCACCAACGCCCTAGATCACGCTTGATATTCGTAGACAAAAATCAACAAGCAAACAACTGTGGTTGATTTTGCAAGTTGTGATATCGCAGCTCGGAATATCAAGCTAACAAAACTCACCAACTGCAAATTTCACCAAACTGTGGTGAGATTGAGTGTAATGATTTTACCTTACACTCGAATGCAGCCGGAACTTCCGTAACGTCTTGCAGCAGTCCCTTTGCGTCTGCCATCGGTGAAGATTAAAAAGAAATAGCAAACTATGCTTTCTCTTTCTAAGAAAAAGATGTGCAATGGAATCATTTGTGTGTCGAGTCAACTCTCAGCTTGATTTTTGCATCAAGCATGATATTTTGTTCCAATATCACGCGTGATATTGCGAGCGCATGAGAGCGGAAAAATATCAATTTATTTCTGATTTTGCTAACACTGGGCATGAGGGCATTTCTGAGAATTCTCGAATCTAAGACCTTAGCTACGAACTCCCACAGAACGGAAAGCACACCAAAATAAGCGAAAAGTTAGAAGGTGGAAATCGGTGCACAGATAGAGTTAACTGCTAGCTGGAGAGTAAACCATGAACTTGCCTTCCTTCAAGCTTCAGTGCATTACTTAGTTCAGTTACTCATTAAAATTACACTATCATAACATGTCATGATTTCCAAGAACACGTTGACCAGGTGCACTGCACTGCATGGTATGTTTCCAAATCCGATAATACCAAATGCATGGAATAGGAAACAGTGGGTAAGGAAGGTAATCTCCGAGAGGTTAACAATATGTGATTAAATTATATCGCAAACGAGGTGGAAACCCGGAGCTAGTGTTTGCAAAAAGCGACACCTACCTTTTCCGAGAACGACAAGGACGAGGGCGTCGCGACGGAGATGGCCGTTGGAGTCCCGGCACAGGACGAGTTGTTGACCGTTCCGATTTCGGTCGTCGTAGTTGTTGTAGCACCTCCGCCACCATTACCATCTCCTCCTCGTCCTCCGGTGGCAGTTCCCTGTATCGACACGGCGGACAACGTGGTACCACCGGCTGCTGGCGTCGCCAGTCTGTATCTATTGGCGTGGAAACTTGACCCGTAGCAATACATCAGCACCATCGTCGTTGGAAAGTACAGCGCACAACTGGACAGTATCCGGTAGGACGATTTACTGTAGAACGGTTCACACGCCAGCAGACCGGATTTGTTGAAGTAGTATCCTATGGGGAGATGTATGAGATTGGAGAACGAAAAATAAGGTCAGTGTGGAAGCTGCACAGAATTCGGTTCCGGTGTTTGCATTTGGGAAAAATAGATAATAAAATAATTACTTTATGGAAATTTAATACTGCGCGGCATTGTATCAAGTTGAGTTTGGAAAAACACACATTATTTGGAATGAAATTTCCAAAAGTTGTAGAACCACCACAATCATAAGAACAACACTGCTATGATGCATGAGCACATAATTTAATATTTGCTAGCTTACAGTCACGAACTACTTGAGCTCTTGTGGTTTCTGTACTGGAATACAAACATTGTGTAAGATTATGTCACTCTACCAGCTTACTAGGTATTTTCCATATTTTTAAGGCAAATTTCAAGAGTAGGTACATTATTCATATCGCTTTACGTTTACTGTTCAGAAAGTAAACTCCGGTTGCACGTTTGCAAGCTTGTCTGATGCCCAGTTCGTGCAGGCATGGGGATAACCAGAGAGCGATTTGACTGCTGGGTTATGGATCGTAAATCTAGAAATTGAATCCACCGGATTTCATGGCGATTCTGCCCATTGCGGGGAGAGTTATGGAATTTGCGGTATTCCACTCGAACTGACATTCGTGTGGTGTGTTCTGCTGTGTGTGTGAGTAATCTTTGTGTTTGCCACACCGTGGAACCAGCGAGCGGAAAATCAATTAAACATCATTGTACTTACCTTTCGGCAGCACCAAAAGTCCAAAACAGGTCAAACATAAAATCCACGTTACGCTCAAAATTGCAACACAGCCCTGCAAAAAAATAGAAAACGGGTAAAGAGGACTGAGTGAAAACAGCTCTGGGTAAATAAATATCATATAAATCAAACAGAAAAGATCAGCTGAAAAAAGGATGCCTGAATGAAGCTGGTCGTAAAATTGTCCAACTAGTCTGCACTGATGATGGTGATGATGATTGGCACAAGTGTCTGTTCACCTGTGCTCCCCAGAAATAAAAACGCAAGTAAAATCAATGGCTCGCAGCACCATGAAATACCGCGGCAATCAAACTGCCATGGCCAGATATTGCGTTTGCCCTTTGCAATCCGAGCTGGACGAGAGAACAATGAAACATTTTAAACAGAATTTGTATCCTATGGTGGATGTTCACGACTTGAATTGTTCGCTTTTTCGCGTTGAACTGCGATTTTTTTTGGGTTTTATTCAATTCTTATTCAAGAATGCTTCAATTGTACGTGGCAGTGCTTTGATGGAAAAATCTAAAAATGGATTCCAATATCATTTTAATGTTTTATTGGTATTATGAAGAATAGCAGTGCGTTAGGTTCATTTGAAATTTGAGTTTGATGGAACAATGTAAGGATTTATCAGTAAATATTTCCATGCCATGCTGGAACTCAGATTATCCGGATGTTTTGATTTTTCAAATTTATTCAATTTTTACAATTAACATATCAGCCATTTCATATCAGGTGGACACCTGAAATCCATCTGTTTGACAAGTGGATGGAACAATTACTATTCGCCTGATAAGGGTTGATGCATATGTCACTCTAAGGGGGGGGGGGGGGGAAGGGGACAAGCAATGCATTAGGTATAGGAAACACGTGACGATAGAGAGAAAGGGGGGTAAATTTTTCATCGGTTTAGCGTGACATAATTAATGCATGGGCCCTGACCATCTCAACGTTTTCACAACTTATATTCTTTCAATATTGGGCACTGGAAAACATGATTTTCTTACATGATGAGGCGGAATAAAAAAATTGTCTTAAAGGTGGAACGCCCGCTGGAATTTGTGTTAGGAAAGATCTAGAAATGACGTAGTATTTTAGGGAGACCTGTAGCATGAGAACAAACCCATAGCTAATTTACATACATATCCCACAGGCAGCAAATTATAATTACGCTTAAAGAAGCACACCTTCTGTGTCTCTACTTCAGTCTCTCTACTCGTTACCACTTTTTACCTCGCACAGCGAAACCCGTACCGGCCGCAGTGCTTTATGTTTATTAGGCGAAAAAACCCAATTTTGTAAAACTGCAAAGGATGCATTTATTGATGTCGCCCCAGCTGTCTCATAGGAAAACTGTATTCGATAACCCCTATAAATAAGAAACGCTGAAATATACGAAGAGGATTATTCGTTCTGAGCTCGACCCAACCGGAGGTTCTCCGATCTTGGCCAATCGACTACTCTGAACAAAGTAATAAGTATTTCTTACTCCTACGGGTTAAGACCTGTAGGTTGGCAAAGAAAGCCCAGGCATGAAGTCTACACGATTCTTTTGAAACTACAACGAAGCGTAGTTTAGACCTGCCATGCAGAAACGTACGCTACAAGGGGGAGGGAGACCAAAGTTGGTGCTTCATGCAACGTAAAAAACGTTAAACGTTTGATGATACACCAACTTTTTCTACATGGCAAGTAACTCTAAAATGCTATATAATTTATGGATCTTCCCAAACATGAAGTAATGAAATTGGGTTGTTAGCGGAATGCTAAATAAAACAGCAAAAAAGGTTATCTTCCATTTAATTCCACTTAATTTTGGTATCCATGACAGATACGTATTTCGACTACAATATGCAGTCTTCATCAGTGTCATTCCAACTGATATTATAGTGGGAATGACACTGATGAAGACTACACATTGTAGTCGAAATCAAGGTTGCAAAGACTCATTTCAGCTAAAACAATGTTTTTCTAAATTATGAAATAATTAGATGCCATGATCAAATTTTGAATTGGTAGGATACAAGAAGAGGTTGCAAAGAATGTGTTTGACATATTAAACCTGTCTATTTCACTTCATGAGAGTCACAATCAGCGATTTTTCACAAACTCACTCACTCACTCACTCAGCGATCAGCAAATCGCTGATTGTGACACATAGAAAGTAAAATTTACAGGTTTTATGTTTCCAACGCATACTTTGTAACCTCTTCTTGTAAGTTACAAGTAAAACATGCCATCTCTCTCTCTGGAACTGATTCGGCATACTGGAACTCTTTGACTAGCCACTTTGCTAGTTTGTGGGTGGGGGAACCAACTGCATTTTTTTTTTCAAAAAACTGTCGAATATATATAAATGACGGGAAGAACAATGTTCAGAAAATTTCAAAGAATTTGGAAATTAGGGGAAACGGATGTAATGTCGGCCTAAATGGCTCTAATTTGGGCCCATATATAAATTCAGCAATCGACTAAATTTTCAACAGCGACCAAAACTATCCATTAATACCGTCCCAATGACGCGTCCATCTAGATAAAATTGATAAAAAGCCATTTTCCCTACCAGATCTTAAATGAAGTTCCAAGAATTTTAGGCAAATTCTGAAAACTCTTTAATAGTTCCATTAAGGGCCTGAAAAAAAAATCGTTTTGATACATTTCTAAAATTATTAGAGAAATATATAAAAAATAAAAATCATCAGTTTTTTCATTTTTTTTATTATTGATGTGAAAAAAAACACTTTTTCTAAGTCATCATGGCAAATAGATGAACTGCATGAATAGATTTTTCGGTTTTTTTTTTATAGAGTTCAACTTTTGTTCATGGAGCGATAGAAAAATACTTAGTATGTAAATTTTCTCAATCTTCTTAGGAAACAGTGATTTTCTTGGGTTTTATGGATTGGACTCGTAAAAAATTTGTTCTATATCAAATACTGACACTAAGCCGACTGCTTATTTTTTGCGGCTCTTTGAGTCCAAATATCTGCCATGATGACATAGAACAATGTTAGAAAACTGCTTTAAGGTTATCTCTATTTATTCAATATATATTTAAAAAAAATCAAAATGCGATTTTTGTGGAATGATTATATCGAACATTTCAAAAGAAACTTCTAATAACTCCAGGCTAGCTCTGAGAACTTCAAAATCGTCCATAATTAAGGGAATGTTATAAGACCCTGAATATTACGTTCCAATAGTCTCAGTGATTTTCCATAAATTTCAGGAAAATTTTAAGAACTGTTAAAGGAAAATTGCTGGAACTTATCAGATGTTTAAAGTTTTTATAGACTTCGATTGAGTATTAAGATTTTAGGGGAAGTTACGTGAACCTTATGACTATTCTAAAAACTTAAAAATAGTTCCACGAATCAAGCATGGGAAAAATCGTTTCATTTTGTATCTACTACTCACTCACACGCATACAACATCAGAAGCGAACAGCAGCTTGTACGAGCCGTACTGATTTCGTTCGTATTTGCATTGCTTCTATTTTCTTCGATGAACGCAGAATTGAGCAAAACAGATAGCTGAGCGTTACCAGCTGGCAAAATAAATGGAGTGAAGGGAGTTTGGGACGATGGCTATTCTCGATCATCCCTAAGGTGTCGAAGAGTCCTTGGTTCAAAGGGTTGGATGTGGGTCGAGACTTCATTCGTCTGATGTCTCGCCTAATGTCCAATCACTATTCGTTAAACGCTCACTTGTTTCGTGTTGGGCTGGGAGACAGCAATCTCTGTGAATGTGGACAAGGTTACCAAGACGCCGATCACATCCTTTGGTCTTGTGCTGAGCATCGTGGAGTCAGATCTGAGCTGTGCGATTCCCTTCGGGCTCGAGGTAAACAACCTAATGTTCCAGTTCGGGATATTTTGGCTAGACGTGATCTGGAGTTTATGAAACTCATATATGTTTACTTTAAGAATACTAACCTTAGATTGTAAGTTTGATTAACCTTGTGTTTAGTTTGTGTATTGTGCGTGTAGTTTTTTTTTTATGTTTGTTTTCAAGATGAATAGAAATAAGTTTTCAAACCTCCTTCTCCCTTTCCCCATCCAAAAATTTGTAAATCTCCACTAACCTCGAGACGACCGCGAGTAATCGGTTCAATTCCTTTAACTCTAGATTTAAGACATTAATCATGTATAATGCAAATGATAACTCGGCTCTGTCAAGTTTATTCAATTGAGCCTGTACAAATAAATTAATATAAAAAAAAGATAGCTGAGCGTAACATGAATGATTCTGCGTATAGTAGTGTGGATGATTCCTCACTTATTATTTTTTCCATGCTGAGCCTTTTACGATTGCATTCTGCTGAGTGATCTGAATGAGAATTTTGCAGAAAACATCACTTTCTATTTTCTAGCTTTATACATACATTGAGACACATTTAAATTGCTATTATTATGGAGAAAACTGTTATACTGTAACACATAAACATAAACATCACGCAAATACCGTAAAACTGCTGTGGCCAATTCAACTGATTTAAATCAGTGAGCCAAAAACTATCTGAATCGCCTATTTATATCGTTAGTATTCGGATTTTACGCATTCAATCTGGTTCTCCCTCGGTAGAGAAATTTTTTCGGCTGCCTTTCAGTTTATCCTTCTTTCCTTCTACTGTTGTCAGTTCTGAGTCGAACTGTAGAACCACTTGGTTGGAAGAATTTCTCTCGTTCGACTATCTGTTTGTATGTGAGGATGGCTATTTACATTCTGTGGTGCACGAATGACAGGAAAATTACGGGGACTTCAGGAAAGTTCTGAGAAATTCAAATATATTTCGAGGATTTGAAGGCAGTTAAAATTAGAAAAAAAAATAGGAACTTCAATAAAACTTTGGGATAGACAGGACAGTTCAATGGATTTCTGGGCAGTTCCTGAAACATCCTCAGAAGAATAAAGCGAACTTCAGGATAGCTTAGAGAACTTCAGAGTTGTCCACATATTTTTAAATAACTTTAAAGAAGATCCAAGGAATGAAAGGAAATATTTCAGATTTCGGGAAAATTTCATGGACAGACGTAATATCTGTCAATTTTTATA